CCCCCCCCCTCCCCTGCCGCTCATCTTTACGGCTTCTAGAATGGTTTTTTATTCCTAGCAACTTGGGGGAAAAAAAAGGGTTTGTTTCGTGCCGCACGTTTCTTACAACCAATCCTGAGGGGCCGGTACAGCCGGGCCGGGGGCGCTGGAGGCTGCGGGAAGGTGCCCTGCAGATCCGGGCTCTGGGGCTTGACATGGGGGTGTTAGTCAGTGTTGTGATTAAATCACATTCTGTTTAGAACCTGCACTTGCCTCAGGAGCCATGTGGTCAGCTGATGAAGTTGCTGAGCTGTGTTACCTGCATTATAGGACCAGACTCCCAAAGCAGGGGAAACCAGACCCAAGCAGGGAATGGACTTCATTGGCAGCTGTTGTCAAAGTGGAGTCTGCAACCCAAAGAGAGGTTCTTGCTAATCCAGGGAATCTGCAGGGTAAGAATTGAGTTGTGGGGATTGGGGCAGTAGAGGCTGAGGTGGAGGTGGCTCTCCTTGATTCTTTTTCTGTATTTTTTTCAAGCTGCCTTTAAAAAAAGAACTGTACACACCCTTTCTGTCCCATTTCAACTTCCACCCAAATTCTTTACCCCTTTTGATTGTAAAAGCTTTTACAGGCTCTTGTCTGGAAAGGGGTTATAGTGAACTGCTGTTCTCCCACACTGCAACTGAGAAGATAAAAGCCTGCAGTTGGCAATTCAATAAGTAACAAACATCTAGGCAGGACCTGGATTCCTTATGTAAACCCTAGCAAAAGCATGTTCAGCTACTAGTTGAAACAATCCTAGAAAGGTCTCAGTTTGCTCTCCTTTAACAGACTGAGTTACTGCTTTGTGTATATGTTACTATCATCTTCTTTTCCCTTATTAGCACTTCCATGTTGTGCAGATTGTATCACATGCTGCTTTCTTACACATTTGAGGAATCCTGTGCCAGTGTCCATGCAGTATTAATCTGGCACTCCTGTTATGGGATCATAGACTTTTCCCAACAGTGGTCCTTCTGCCTACTGTGTTCTGTTTTCCAGCTGATACTGTTTCCTTTCTGGAATTCTTCATGGTTTGCATCCCTGTACCTTCCTTTCTGCCCCATGTTCTGTGTGTTTTCTTACCAGAATGACTGTATGAGAACAGGGCTTCCGGTGATAGTTCATTCAGTTAATGTTGTTTCCTTTCTCAGTAAAGAAGGAAGTTGTTGCTATGGGAACTGGAACAAAATGTATTGGACAAAACCAAATGAGAAAAACTGGTAAGTGTGGTGTAAAATCCGAGAACAGACTCCCTGTGCTACCTTATTTCTTGGAGCCATAGAATCATTGCAAATGTCCAAGGCATTGAGCTCATACTTCTGGATAGAAGCCAGAAGTGTAAGGCAGACCTTACCTTGTCAAGAAGAGAGGGGCTTAGGCAGCCATGGTGGCTGTCCTGAAAGTTTGCTGTCCTTGCTGATTTAAAGGTGAATAAACTTTTTATATGTGGAAATGTGTTGTTTAGGCCCTGAGTCTGCACACCCCAAGTCTTGATAACTAAAAGCAAAACAAAACATAAGCAAAATAATTATTATTGATTCACTTGTAACACTCTAATGATATTGTGGTCTGATGCAGAAGTTAGGGTAGAGGTGCCATCAGAAAGGTTCTAACAGGCTTTTTCTCCCTTACTGTATATTCTGCAGCTAGTTTTAAGTGTTTGTACAGTAAGCCATAGGTGCCTGACTTCCCACAGCTACCATTTCCTACCATTTGTTGTAGGACTTGCACTGCATGTCCTTGTTTTACTCAGAATGTTATGTCTCCTCTCCTTGGAGAGGGGAGAAGCCTTAGTAATTCATGCTGAAAAAGTGACCAAGGATGAAAAGTGGTTTTGAAGATGTAGGTACAGGGCTTTCTACTTTTTAAGGCTTCAGAGCACGAGTAGAGCAAGATAGGAGAAACAGTTTTGTGTACAGCAGTTTCAGGCTTAATGAAAGTAAAAGGGCTTCAAATACTTGAAAAAAAGTAAAGCTGTTTCCTCTCTCTGTTGTTTATCTTTAGTGATCCTAAGTTTTGAAAATATTTTCCTCTTATAACATTAATTTATTTTTAAATTAACTTGGTTGGTAGGCCAGGTTGATGGCTATCTGTTAGAGAATTTCTGAACTTTAAACTTTTTGAATTGTTAAGGGGAACTCCAATTACATGGCCTCTTGTTCCTGAAATAAAAGCTGGTCTGCATGTCATGCTCATTTAGATATCACAATAGGCAGGTGCTGCAGGAAGTTTGAAGAAGAGATGTGTAAACCTGTTAAAGATCAAAATTATTTACAAGAAAATACTTTAAACTGTAGGAGATAGTGCAGCAAGAAGCTTCGTCCAAAAGCTTAACCAACCACTTGACATTTTCTGGATGATGTTCTTCCATCTGAGAATACCAAGATTCACTATTAAGAACAAACATCAGGAAGGTTTTGAATGAAGTCAGTGTTTATTAAACTCAGAGGAATTCAGATATCAGAAGTGTTAAAATTTCATATTTAACAAGTCTCTGATTTGCTGTGGATTGAAGACTTATCCTTAATTTGTGTAAGCTATTGACTTCCTTTTGTAAGTACTGGAAGTTTAAGTATCTTGCAATAATACCAGTGTTAACTGCTGTCAAATGCTAACAAATCTGGAGAACTGTCATCTGTCAAATTCTGTTAGTTTTTCTCCTTTTCAGTAATGATGTGTATTGTTCTCATTTGGTAATTGCTCTAGGAGACGTTTTGAATGACAGTCATGCTGAAATTGTGGCCAAAAGGAGCTTCCAGAGGTGAGGCATGGTTCATGTGCTGTTACTCAGTGCCACTTGAGGTCGTTGTGGTACAAGTGGGTTTGACATACAGCTGAAATATCCAGATTTTGCAGCTTCGGGGATGGGAACGTAATGAAAGAGACAGTATTACTTCTCTGTAGGCAGCAATTTTTCCCCTTTTATTAGCAGGAGTTTAACCTATGTTTTACACTTCTAAATGATGTTGAGGCCCGTTCACAAAAGCTTGTTTCTTTCTCATTTTTATAGAGTCTCTATATGAAGAAGTAGTAGCATAACTGACTGGCTCCTCATAGACTGCAGCAGGAAAGAACAGGAACTAGTGGGCATCTAATTTTTGTTTTCCTGTGCATCAAAAACAAAGTAAATGTTTCATTAAAACTTTCTGCCTAACAGGTATCTTCTCCATCAGATATGGCTGGCAGCTTCCCATCAGCAATGCAGCATCTTTATTCCAGGAACTGAAACTGGGAAATGGAAACTCAAACCAAATACCATATTTATTTTCTTCACCAGTCATACCCCATGTAAGTATGCTGGTGTGAACCAATTTTATGGCTCCCATCTGTAGAATCTTAGGTAGAATGCAAAACTAAACACAGAGCTGCTCAAATTTCAGCAAGGTTTGATTTGTCACTGTACAGAGCTATGTTGTTTGAAATGTGTGTTTCTTGTAGTTAAATTTTTCTGAGTGTAAATCTGTGAAAGTTAGCAGTAGCTGCAGTGTTACTGGTGTGATGTGTTCCAGTCATGAGAGAGGCGTTTTTTGGCCGATTTTGATTTTACTTCTTTTCTTCTAGGTGGAGATGCCTCTATTATTCCAATTATTGAACCAGAAAATCAGATTTTTAAGCCACTGACTGGAGATGATGCAGCTGGACAATCAGCAGAGTGTAGAAGTAGCCATGATCGTTTGGGTCCAGAAGAAAAAAGGAAACCAGAGAAAATGGCAAGTAATCACGTAATCAAGAGAATGAGAACTGCTGATGATGGTTCTTTTTCCGTAACCATGGAAGAGCTGGATGTTCAGCAGCAACGAGCAGACGACACGTGTCCAAGCAGCTGTGAACGTTCTGCAGAGATGGGAACAGCTAGTAAGGAGACTGGCTTAGGGAGACCAAAGGTAGCAGATGTTCATAGAACTGGAGCAAAATGTGTACCTGGAGAGCTGGCTGATGCCCGAAAACCTGGGTTAGGGTATCACTGTGTGGGTGCACTACGAGTGAAGCCAGGTCGTGGGGACAGAACATGCTCGATGTCCTGCAGTGATAAACTGGCTCGCTGGAATGTGTTGGGGTGTCAAGGAGCTCTTCTGATGCACTTCCTGCAGTATCCAGTGTATCTGTCAGCAGTTGTAGTGGGAAAGTGTCCATATAGCCAAGAAGCTATGCGGAGAGCAATTATTGAAAGGTAAGTAAGTGCTCTCCTTTGGAAATCAGATAGTGTGTATGGAGACAATGGGTTACCAAAGAATGTCTTTCCTGTGAGAGTTACAGAGCACTGGAACAGGCTCCCCAGAGAGATTGTGGAGTCTCCTTCTCTGGAGACTTTCAAGACCTGTCTGGATGCCTTTCTGACTGATCTGCCCTAGTTTTTGGCCCTGCTCTGGCAGGGGGGATTGGACACAATGATCTTTGGAGGTCCCTTCCAACCTCCAACATTCTGTGATTCTGTGAAAAGGAATCTGCAAGGCCTAGAGGAGAGTAAATGGAACTGGGCAGAGGAGGGAAAAGACAGCAAGAAAGATACCAGGAAGCTGAACCACTCCCTTTAAAAGCCAGTTACTAGACCAGTTTGGCTTTGTTGGGTAACTGCTTCATAGCCTTACATCCTTCTAGGGTGGTTATGGAAGAGGCCATGGTGTACTAGCAGGGGAAACTCAAGGTACGTAGCTGTGAAGCTTACTAGGTGATCCTTTCCTCACACTGTAACACACGGGATGAGAATTTGCCCAGCCTTATTAGTCTTAAGTTGCAAAGTCAGGCACTTTTTCAGACTCTCACATCCAACAGTATGAACCTCAGTCTTTGTTATGCTTGAACACATGCAGGTTTTTTCCTCCTCATATGATCCTAATTCCATTCAATGTCTAATGGTAATTTAAGGTAACAAAGATGAGATTATACATGGAACTATGTTTAGTCTCTCTCTGGTCTTTCATTCTAATCCTTTAGGTTCATAAAACAGTTGTTAGTGTAATACGGTTGACTATGTAAATATTTTTACTGTGATTGCAGAAGTATATTACAGTTTTTATTCTGTGTACATTATACTATATTTTAACTAGTCCTTCTAAAAAATTAATTTGTAGTAGTTTTTCTATGATGGACAAGGTCTTAGTAAACTGATGCTTTTTTTTAATAAATCCTTTTTTGAAGGGGAAAAGTGCCCCCCAAACCCGTTTCTGTCTTCTGTAACTCAAGTTTAATTCAGTTTGAAGGTGAAAGTAATGTGTTTTAGATTATGAAGGGAAGTTGCACAAAATCGGCTTCTTTGTGAAGACTGAACTTAAAATCTCCTGCATTTTTCCATGTTTACTTTAGGTGTCAGCACATCTCATTTTTACCAGCTGGTTTTCTTACTCAGGAGGTTAAGCTGCTGCAGTCAAATCTTCAATTTGAACATAGCCGCCAGGCAATGCAGGAAGTTCAAACTAACAGCAAAACAAAACTTGTTCCTTGTAGTGCAGGTGAGTTAACTTGGGCTAGTTGCATAACTGTGTGCAGAAGTCCAAATAGAAATGAGGTGGTTTCGTTGGTTTGCTGGAGGCAGAGTGTGACTTAGAGCAAGAAATTAATTTCAGGCCAGAACTTAATTGTTAATAATTAATAATATTTAGCTCTGCCTCTAGTTCCCTGAAGGGAATTTTCAGGCTGAATAAACACTTGGTTGATACCATTAACAATTTATAATCCAAACAAAGACAGAAAAGAACCAGTTAAAGCAGAAGTTCTGAGGGCAACAAGAAAACAAAAATGTTAAAAGAATTGTGTTTCAGTTAGTTTTGCATTCTGCTTGGTAATGAGTGGCAGACTTGCCATGCAGAGTTTGCTTCTGGTTGCTCCAGAAATCTGTGAACCTAGAAAGAATGCAGAGTAGTATAGTGTAAAGGTTTGATTGACAGATGTTTTGGACATAGCATTTTTTTTTTGTCATGGTGGTGAAAGAACATGCAAGTCATGTTGTGATTTAGCAACATGGTCTTGTTTGGGCAAAAAAACCCCCCACAATGGAACTGCCACTGTATGTGTGTGATTAAGCAGTGTCTTTAAATTCGAGCGTGCCTGCCTTCTGCTGTTGCATACTTTTCTGGTATAACTGGCACTTGAAGTTACTCTATTACAGTAGAGCTGATGATAAAATAGAATGGAAACAAAGGGTTCCTTAATGGAATTCAGGTTCACTAAGTTTGAGGAAAAGATTTAGATTCTCTGAGATAGAAAACAAAATCCATCATTGAAAAATGGTGCCAGTTCACTTAGTGAAGAAGACCTGAAGCCAACTGTGGCCGAATTCCTGTGTTTGCCTTTTTTTTCTGTACAGTTACTTAGGTAATAAGATGAGTGATGCTTTATCACATTTCTTGGCATGTATTAACTATGTCAGCTTGATTTTTTTTCTCTTGAAGGGATTAAGATGAGAACAAACTCTGCATTCAAGGCTGTTACACTGAGTATTGAAATATGCTTGTCAGGAACATTTAAAATTATATTTCTAAAAAGAAAAATGTGTTTTGCTTAGTATTTTGAAGTTCGTGATAACTGAGAATAAATGAAATAATGGAAAATGTTTTCAATTTTAAGTAAACTTTTATCTTACCAAAATCTCATGTCCTCTGACCAGGGCATTTTAGATACTGCACATGGAGGGTTTAGTGTTAATACAAGTTGTTCATATGTAATGTTATTTGACATTACACAGGATTTTAATTTGCTAGATGATTGTACCTAAATTGCAAAGCAAGTACAATTTACACTTGAAACACAACAGTTGCAGTGTGCAGTTGAATCCTAATATGAATGTGATTAATGTAACCACTCTCCAAATTATGCTTTAAAACATGTAGGTTTTAACATCTTGAACAGCAAGATGTGATAGTGGAGGAGAGAAGCTGTGAAAATTGTCTTTAGAGTTAATGCATGTGCTGCTGTTTTGTCTCTTGGGAACACAGAGAAATGGGAGAACTTAGGGAGCAAAGTTGTCTTAATGCAGTAGAAGTTCACAGCTGTTAGGCTGTGGAGGGACAGATTGGGCACATCCATCAGTTTGTTTCTGTTAACATGCTACTGATGCTTTGCCAGGTATTTATAAATCTATAAGGTGTGGCATGCAGAGTTTCAGCATGAGTAAGCTTACAGTGTAAGATGCTAATATAAAGGATAATGTCATTAGCACTTGCTGTCTCTTCCAACAACTTATTTTTATATTTCTGCTAATAACATTTTTCAAGTAAAGTCTATAGATACTTGTTACATGTCAGTTGTCAGTTCTCAATCACAGAAAGAACTATTTAGAGTACAAATAGAATTATACAAATAGAATTAATTATACAAATAGAACTATTTAGTGAACAAATAGAATAAAAGGAACTGTTAAGTTATGCTTTCGTGATGAGAGAATCTCCCTTGTTCATAATCCTTTCTTCTGCAGCTATCAGTTGGAGTGCTGTTCCTGAGCAGCCTCTGGATGTCACCTCAGATGGTTTCCGGCAGGGAACAACGAAGAAGGGGATTGGGAGCCCTCAGAGCAGGTGTGAGAATGTTGTGACATGTGGATGCACGTGTCTTAGGTGTTAGCATACACACTTCTCTCAGCTCAGGTGAAGGGCAGGGCATGGTCAGAGCTGAAAGAAATCAAGGGAAAGGGTAGGGAGTGGGGGAAGGAAGAGTCACCGTGTGAGGGGGAGGAGGGAAGATGGCATGACAAGCTATCAAGTTCATCCTATTTCTTTGTCACTGTTGATTAAAGAGAGCGTTGTTGGTAATGGTGATGGGGGACTATGATACATTTTTATTAAAATATATCTATTTATTGGTGAAGTTAGCAAAATGTTTGCTTTATATCTTTTGGGTTGATGGCTGTGAAGCAAATGTCTGTGTTGCAGGTTCTCTTTTTAGAGATTTATTTTTTGTAAGAGTCGTACCAACTGACCTGGATGTATTATTGTTTGATGTGTTGCTTTGAAATGTGGGTCTCTGCCTTAAAGTTTGAAAATGTTATTAACTGCTTGCATCAGATTCCTAACACAAAATGTCACCTTTCCAATTGTCATCTCGACACTGTGCTCTTTAGGAGACATAATAATCTTCTATCAACTATTAATGTTTAATGCAACAGTTATGTGTTTTTCTTGTGGTTGAGAATTGTAAACATCTGGAGACAAATTTCTCCATCTCTCAACACTTCCCGCAGTTTAGATGAAGTAACCAAAATGATAATTGGTCTGTGGAAGTTCAGCTTGAGTGTTGGGCTGATGTTTTGGTTGTTGGCTGCTTACGCTACAGATTTATCAGTGGTCATATTGTTAATTTTTCCCAGCCTTTCTGGGAGAAAGAAGATAATACTGACAGTGCTGAGTAAGATAAATTGAGCTTAAATAATTCTTGTGGAGAATTCATTCACATGCTTGGGAGTTGCATGTTCTGAACTTCTTGAAGTTTGACCTGGCTTGACTAAGCTTATCCTGGTATGTCCTACTATTTCTAAATTTTATGTGGAAAGATCAGGAACTTTATGGTTTGTGACCATTATTGGTGTCTGGGGTATTGTTAGCACAGGTGATTGGGGTGACTTAGTGTGTCTTTTCAGACAGGCTTTATGTGCACTGTAAAACATTTGCCTTCAGTATGTAGTGAGTAACTTGTTCCAGGAGACACATGAAAGATCAAACAAAACAACAAACTCCTTTTCTCAGTAGGCTTAAATTTGCTAGGCAGCATTTGTGTATCGACTCTGAAACTTGAGAGCCATCTGCTAGCTGCTGCTTTGCACAGAACTGTAGAAGCTCAAATATTGTTGAGAGATGCTGCTGTTTTACACATATGCTCACAATTCACTAAAAGGTTCAAGTTACTAGAGGGGGCCTGCAGGGCTGCATGGTTGCAAAGGTCTCCTTTCCTAAGGAAATCAGAATTAAAAACAATGTCAAGGAATAAGTACATTTTTGCTCTTTGCTGATAAACAGTCACAAAAGGAGCTCTGTAATGAAAATAAGGAATTTATAGCCTTATTGGAGGCATCTGTTTATTATTAAACAATATTTATATTTCTACCCTGTGTTTTTTTTTTCCCTCAAGGAATCTCAGGGTTGAGTGGTGGTGGGGTGTTGTTTGGTTTTCTCCCCCCTCAGTGTTCTGGATATCACTAAATATCTAGAAGGGTAAAGCTTACTGACTAAAATGACAATATTGTTCCAGATACTTCTTTAATTTTTTCTGGGCAATACAAAGTTTCAACAAGCCTTTGGGGTCCTCCTGGCTCAGCCTGGCTGTAGGTGTGACCTGCACAGATGGCAAGATGGAGGCAATACAGCTCTTCATCAACATCATATTTAAAACTAAGGGAAAAGGCAGATAGATGGGCAGTTCAGATGGGGTAGGCAAAGTTAAACTGTGAATAAATTACTACATTCCTTGAGAGTGTAAATAAAAAATGTTCAGCTGGGATGTGCTACTGTGAGCTGTAATTGGATGTGTATTTTTAAATTTCTTTTTTTCATCTGAATTTCTGATTTATTTCAATTTTATTTTTTTTTTCATCAGATCCAAGATCTGTAAGGTGGAACTCTTCCATGCATTCCAAAAGCTGGTGGCAAGCATTTCAGAGGAGGATCTACCAGACACTCTCCGGTAAATAAATTTTTGTTATATTTTAAAGAGAGAGTTTATCTTAATTAAACTCAGTAATACTGTGATGGTACCAGAATCTGCTCAGGAGTTTCACTTTAGAGAAATTAATTGTTAAGATTTGGTACTTGAAAAATATGGCATGTACTTCAGGGGTTAGAAAGATTCTTTTGAGTCTTTCTTTTTAATCACCTCCTTTGAGAAATAGCTGTTGCATCTCCTGTATTAATGATAGAAGAATTTTCAGGTGGCCTGCTTGAAATTAAGGTAAGAATTTGGGGCAGCTCATCTCTTCTGAAGGCTTACTACTTTTCAAAAGAGTAAACTCTGTTCCTGATCAGTGGAGCTTTGTCCCTCTCTTGCCTTAGATCTGTAAGCCTTTTCTGCTTTCTGTCTTGGCAGAAAAATACATTTTGGGTTGTTTTTTTTCTGAGTTGAAGTCATCTTGTCTGAAAGTGACAGTGACTAGGCAAGAAGGAATGAAGAGGGAGATGAGAGGATGAAGTAGTATCTTTTTTGAAAACATGAGCTGTTAGATCATCTGCCTGCAGCACTGTACCCTTGGTGGCATTCAAACCAACATCAAAATTATTGTCAGGTTATTGATACCTGGTTGATGTTTAGTAATTCTATCAAATGCTATTTCTTTTGTTTCACAAGAAGGAGGAGTAATGAAAATCTTTTTTTCATCTAAGTGTGTGATGGAGAAAGAGCTCAAAAGGTGAAATGGTGTTTAGGGAGGGCTCTTTCTGCAATGCGTGTATTACATAGATGGATACTTTCTAGAAAGAACAGAAATAAGCTTTTGTTTGAGGAAGCCATGATTGGAGGTTTATTTACATTATTAGAATAAGGTTTGGTTTATCAGACTGGAGTTTCTCACAGTAATCATTCAGTCTGACATTGCATTATGTGCATTGATGTATTTTATGGTATTTCAGCCCAAATAGCTACCACAAAGCAGGGCATAGATGCATATACAGACAAACTTATGTCTTTCTTTGGCTTCATGATTCTGAGAGATGTAGAAGGTTCCAAATCCAAGGTCTTGGAAAGTTTATTTTAATTTAGGCATATTTCCAGGTATGATTTCACCAGCTCTGGGATGCAGTTGTACGAGGTGTTTAACTTACTTCACTGCTTTTAGTTACTGATGAAGATGGCCTTGCAGCAGTCTCTGTTGCTACTGCTTGTAGATTCCCATTTTCTCCCTTTTATCAGCAGCTCTTCTCCAACCTCATGGTGAGCCAGTTCAACTAGCTATTATGGCAGAAAGCAATTTCCTTGTTTTCTATTGGAAAATGAGCTCAATCGGCTCCTGGAAAGCTAAAATAGACAATACAACCTGTGTAAAAGCAGTAGGAGGTTTGTGTGGCTAGAAGTAGGGGAGATGGGTCATTGCTGCCTTTCAGGGTACCAAGAGAGTAGATGAGAAGAACTTAGGCAAAGTAAGCACACCGTGGATCCTAATAATTAGATTTTGTTTGCTTTTGAATTCTGTGGAGTAAAGACTGGAGTTACCCTGTGTCTGTAGAAGTGTCTCATGGCTGCTCTAAAGTTCTGATGTCAACGTGAGCCATGCTAGTGCTGAAATGGTTTCAACTGGTTCTAGATGTAGAGTGACACTTTCTCCTTAATTCAGTTTTAAATTACTAGCCTCTTTTGGATGGTAGTTTGTCCTCACTTGTTTAGCCATCTTAATTTCCTTGGAATAGTATGTGAGCTGGTGCATTGCTGGGGTAGGTGACTCATTGTGCTGATCATGTGCTACGTACATAAAGCTACTTCACCTCAGGGCTTTTATAGACTCCAGTGGCTTTGTAATTTCCTTTGCCTTTTTTGCCCTCTACTGCTTTTCTGTCTGGACTTTGTATGACAACATCCAGCTGACTGGCAGATGTGGCATCATTTTTAGGCTGCAAAAACTCTATTCATACAATAGAGGTCCTAGCTCACCAGTCAGCTTGTCCAGTTGCTTTCCTTTTGAAGTTTTTGTTTGTCCTATTCTTTACTTTAAAAGCAATATTAAGAATGTCTTTGTATTGTTTCTTCCTTCTTCCCTTTCCCTTCCTACACAATATTCTGATCTGTTTTCTTTTTCTTCCTTCCCTCCTTGTAGTCTGGACTTTAGTAAGAAATCCCATGCTCTCAAATAGCTTCCTCTGAACTTTGTATATTGAACTGTTACTCAGTTTTGTATTTTCTTCCCATTCAAATGTATCTCATTATCTTCTCCCACAAGTGGTTGGCTCTAGTGCTACACTGTCACCCAGTTTCCTTTTCCCACTTTGCCCATAAGTTCCTGCTCTGCCTTTTAATGGTCTGCTTTTTGGCCCCCTTCCTCCCGTCCTTTCTGTTCCATCAACGGAATGTCATTCTGTAGTCCTTTTAAATTGGCAAAACAGTTTGTCTTGGTAGCATAGGGCACACAAGGACCAGGAGCATTCTTTGCCTTAGCTCTGCATCTACTGTTGTCCCCTGTCAGGCACAGGATACTGGGGGAGTCAAAGTGCTTTATGTGGAACTAGTGTACTGGCTCAGATGTTCTTTTGTTTTCTTATTTTGTGTGTCTAAAGCTGCTTCTCTTGCATTTTGTGTCTTCCTTTCTCTTTCATTTGTCAGTTATGTCCAGAGGATTAGGGAGGACACTTAAATTTGAACAGGTAGGCAGCCTACTGAGTGCAGAACTTTGCTGGCTCATCTAAAAGGCAGGTTTACCAATTCATAGTGGTGAAGCTTCATCAAGATGCTAAGTATAAGACTGAGCAGTTTAGCTCGGGGTTTATTTTATTTGCTTTTGGCTGAGACTGTGAGAAGGTGGTGTTCGGCTGGCATGAGCTACTTCTTCACTTTGAACCAGATAGAGCTGTATTGTGCAGCCCCACTTTTTTTCTTCCTTTCTGATAATTTCTGTGATCTCTGTCCTCTGTGCATCACTTAAATTCTCACTCGTCTCTCTAGGTAGACTATGTAAAATGCTATTAGTTTCCTTAGAACCTCTTACCTCCAACTGCCATACTTCATCCTCTTCTGTTGACTCCCTCTCACGTTACTTTCTGTTAATGTTTTGGAATTGCTGATACATAAATCCATTTTTACATTATTATTTGCTTTTCATGTTTTCTGTGCTTGCTGTCAAAGGAAAAATATCACACCACTGGGCAGTGTTGTGCCATTGTTAATCTGAACTGTTATGTAAAAACCTCTGCTCTAGTATTATTGTTTGCAGATCACTTGGTGGCAATATGGCAAAGAGGTTTTGCATTGTTGGGGTTTTTTCCCTCCTTGTTGAAAAAAAACATGTTGTTTTTTCATCACCTGAGGAAGTGAAAGCCTTCTTTTGTCACACAGTGGGATCCCCTATACAGTCACCAAGCACTGCTGTTTGTGCAAGGTGTGGCTGGCTGTGCAGCCCTTTTGTCTGAGTTGAAGGGAAACTTAGTAACATAAACCTGTCCCGAGTTTCTTGCTGGGCTTGTTAAATGGAGGACAAATTCCCTTTTCTCTGAAATTGCAGTCAGGAGCCTTTGCAATTAAGATGGTGCTTTCTTCCTCCTTCCTGTGCAGTCTGCAGGATGGATTATTTCAGGTCCAGTAACAGTTCCTAATTGCAGGGAGTGGGCTGTTGTACAGAGGAGTGTGAGGACTTTGAGTAGCTTAAATATTTAAATATCTAAACTACAGTATAGAACCTTTACTTGGGCTTCATGTTTAAGATGTTTTGCCAGTGTTCATTTGTGAAAAACAAATGGGTTCTGCCAGGTGATCACTATATCTTCCCTGCTGGAGTGACTGAGGGTGATTGTAAGGAAATGTCAGCCTAATGGAAGTAACTGTCCTGGGATTGGTGCATTTCACTGTTAGTGCTGTTCCTCCAGTTAAAAACAAACAACCCAAACCAAGCACATTAGGCAAGATTTTTGTTGCTGTTTTCTAGTCCCTTTTCAATCTTCTTTTTCAAGTCTGTACATTAAACAATTCCTGTGATGGTCCTAACACTGCAGAGAGGCCTATGGGACAGTGAGGTCCTCTCTGACTGAGATCTCTGATCTGACTAAGAACGTAATTTCTATACTGCACATTACAGAAGCTTTTTAGATCTTTGTTAGATTGGAGAGCCTTTTATTAAGTAGCATTTTCTGCTCCATGAAAGTACCCCATCATAATTCTCTCAAGACCCATCATAATTCTCTCAAGACTTGATTATTCTTTTTTTAATGACTGTTGAGCTTCTGCATCTTTTCCTCTGTGTGATTCATTTGTTCCCCATCTCCGACGACGTTGGAAAAAGCCACAAAGCTAATTTTCCATTTTTCCAAGAACATTTTGAAAATCTGGTGTCCCAAGCTAGACATACCAATCCAGAAGCAGTCTTCCAAATGCTGCAAAACTTTACATTACTGTTAAAACATATTGTATTTGAGTAGAACTCTCCCATTGAGTTAGCTCACTTGGTGACTTTGCTCTGGTCTTCTTAGCAATTGGTGGCAATTACAAAGGTTGTCTGCAATGTGTGCATTTTATTGGAAGCCTTGAAGAAGATACTTATAGAATCAGGCCAAGCATTGTTTCCTTGCTCCCTCTCGTTAGGGATTCACAGCAGATTTTTGTATTTTGAAGTTGTATAAGCTTTTGCCCTTTTAGATGCAATTCATTAATTTTTATGTGAGTAATGTTTTGGTTGATGCCTTGTGCTTATGTCAGCATTTTCCATTAATAAGATGCCTGTAATCTCAAAAGCTTGTATGGTTGAATGTAAATGTTTGAAACTGAATATGGGGTTAAAGGTAGAGTTTGTTGCTGAGAAGAAAATATTGCAACAGTGTCTTGCTTTTCTTTGCAGTCTGCTTGCCTGTGTGCCCATTTCTGCTCAGCTTTGCACCTGGCTGGGCATGTGAATGTTTCCAAGCATTATAGTAATCTGCAGTGATCTGTGTAATGCTTCCAAGAGCACCATCCCTTTCAGAAAGAAATCTGTGGATCACCTCTCATGTTTTTTGTGATACAGTCATCAGAATCACTCTGTCTCTTACACAGTAGTGTAGGAGAAAGACTGAAATAGTAAAGGAAATCATGAAAGGAATGTAGTCAGGCAGACCTGGTTAGGCTGGAGATAGTATGATTGTACCGAAGTTTGCCTGGGGCAGCCAACTAGTGTTCACTTCTGCAAAAAAAAAATCACTGGTTCTTCATTACCAATTCTTAAAGCCTTAATGACCCAACCAAAGCTGAGATACACTGAAATCATGTGAGGTTTTTAGACAGATGCAAAGTACTTTGAAAGCATTTTTTCCAAATATATGGTGAAAGTTTCTTAGAATCATAATGCAGAAGTCAAGCATGAATTGAACAAATCTGTTTGATTTTGGCAGTTCTTTGAGAAAGCTCTTTAAAAATGCAGCTTTGGGTTGCATCCACTGTTCAATCCTGTAGTGAAGTTGGCTCCTTAGAGAATGAGTCTGCAAGAGGCTGTGGTTTCATGTGCTGTGGTAGTGAAAATACTGAGCTGCTCCTTACTGTCTCTACTGCTTTTGTGCTAGCTGTGGTTTCCCTTACTGTCTACTGGAACAGTTTCCAAACAAAGTTCTGCTGGAATAACCTAGGTTAGCAAATCCCATGTGTGTTTTAGCTAAGTTGGACCAGACTGCCAGATATGAGTTGAAAGAGCCACTGATTTGGGAAAAAGTGCAGTCTATAGCAAGGAAGAAATAAAGAAGAGCTAGACATTGGAGTCTTTCTCTTGGCTTCTTGACAGGTGGAATATAGCTAGCTAACTAGCTCTGTTTCTGGATCTATATCTGTGTATGTGCATCCACAGCAAATGCAAAGAAAACAGCTGTTTCACATTGAACAAGATTGAGCCAGTCTAAAAATCTGTGTTGTGTAATTCTTTTTTGATGTGTGACCATGCTAAATGTGACCCTCATAAGTCCAAGTAGCTGTGTTTTGAAGATGTAAACAGCATCTGATATTAGCTATTGTATACATGACAAAGGACAAATGTAAGTCATTAGATGCATTTACAGTGAAGAAGGGCAGGATCAAAGTCTTAAACAAATCCATAGGATGTACTTGTAACTGCAAGAAGGGTGCTAGCATAAGAGAGTTTCTTTGGTCTTTATCCTTGAGTGTAACCAGGCATATTGCTCCCCAGCAATATGATTTTCAGATGGAGGAGAAGGTGCAGGTTGTTTGTACCGTGTCTGAGGTACATGCTGGAGAGTAGCAGCTTGCCTGTGCTAGAGATTTGGAGCTGGTTGTGGTGGGGTTGGCCTTGGTCTGTGTTGTTTCCTGAGTACTGCTTATGCAGATACCTTGTTGTTCTTGTGCCTGTTCAGTGGTGCTCCTGAACCATGATCCCAGCACTGATAGTGGGGTTCCCCTGGCCAGGGGGAGGAGACTTGCAGTGAGCCTTTCCATGGAACTTTTCAGAGCAGCAACTTGGAGGTTAGTTTCACAGTTTGATTAATGTGACAGAAGGAAGCAAAATGGATTAGCTGTGACAAGAATGCAGGCAGGTTTTTAAGACAGTATGCCTCTCCTGTGTTCAGCCATGGCATAGACAGGTTCTCCACTCTTGCACTTTCTGAACCTAAGATCTGAAGGACAGATGATGTCTCATGGCTTTCTATGCTTGTCAGAATGTTATAGAAATACATTTATAGCAGAATGTCAAATGTGTGAAATACAGCTCCTGATGGTCTGTTGTTACTTTGTTTGTTGGGGGGTTTTGGCAGGGTTGGGGTGATGGTGATCAGTGTTGCCTTTGAGCACGACAGCCTGTTCTGGAAGTTAGTGCAGTGGTTCTCAGACATTTTGGGTAAGAGTCCTAGTAGTAGTTTGACTTTTCTTCTTGGCGAAGGTCGTGTTGCCTGTGATCTTCCCTTCATATTGGGTTGAATGTATAAACATTATGTTCTACATGTGGCTGATAGACAGTTTGGCAAAGGAAGATGAAAGAGGCTGGGAAAATAATGCAAGGAGAGGAAAAAAGTATCAATGAAATTGTCCTAGAGGCACTTGCATTTGGATACTCTAGACCTGAATTTCCCTATTTTGAAAATGAATGTACAATGCCCTGGGCAGAGTGACCAGTGGTTCTGCTGAGATTGTGAGGAGCCTGAAGGAGAACAGAGCACCAAAACTGCTAAGTCTCTCTTGCTTTAGGGAGAAGATAAAAAATATTTTATCATTTGTCTCACTCTTCCCTATTATTTGTGTTGGAAAAGAAAGAAAAACTGTCCTGTTCATCCTTGTCCCCTTCCCTTCCAGCCAGCAATCGTATCCATTCCTAGAGCAGAACAAGGCTCTTTCCACCCAATTCAAAACACTTATCTCTAGGCACCTTTTCTGCTTTGCTTCAACATTTTTTGCTATTGTGGAAGCTTTCTGTAACCTATTGTCACATAGTCAAACACTTAACTCCTATGTTGATGGAGTGTATGAAGCATGGTAGAGGAGTTGTTTTGCTTCCTTTTGTAAGAGTGCTGAGATGTCTAGATACAAGAGCCTCAGGGCCTAGGCCCCTCCAAGTCTCCCTAGAAGCACAAGGGAGTTTCACTTAGTAGCATGAAAGAGCTCATAGGGCATTATCATGTCCTTAGATACTTGATTCCTTTTTTCATTTTGTGACTTTGCATTCCATAGGATAATATAAATGTGTTTGTTACTGTGCATTTTCTGTCAGGATGAAGACTCTAGAAACCTACTGGGACTACAAGGAAGCTGCATTGAACTATCAAGAAGCCTGGAAAGTGCTGCGTAGCCAAGCCTTGCTGGGTTGGGTCAAGAATGCCAAGGAATACCTGCACTTCACATAAGAATACACATGGATATGTAAATCCAGCAGTAAGCCCTAGTGCAGGAAAGTATGTCCTCCAGCGCATGTGCTGTAAGGGTACAGGGGTGAAAAGGAAAGCAATTTAGATAATTCTTTATTTTGGTCGAGTTGAAGCCCCCTTCTTATTGTGATACAGAAAAGGGTCGTTGCACACTCAGAGTTCTGTGCTGCACAAGACAATAATGCCTCCAAAAGAAGGGAGCTGTGCTGTGCTGTCCTCCCGTGTCTGAAGAGCCGACGTATCGGTCATCGTCCATTGCAGTGGAGGTGATGCCAACTGAAATGGAAGCAGTGCTATGGAAGAAAGGTTGTCATTGTAAGATTTTAGTGCTGCTTATTTTTCTTCTCTTTATAATGTTATGGTTATTTTTGGGTTGCTGGGACAACCCTAATGTGTAGTAAGTAATATTTTTATAATTCTTGGCTCTTGTTGTTGGATGCCTGGAAGAATTTTCTGTGTCCCCCAGCCCCACTGCTTCTAACTGGAAATACTAGTTCTGTTAAAGGGTCTTTTTCTTCTGGGAGTACTTCATACAAGTTTCTATTTACTCAACATAGCCAAAGCAGGAGAGTGCTGGGAAGAAGACTGTGTCAAAGCGTACTACTTATGGTATTCCATGTGTCTTTATTAATTTCAGGACTTTGCCAGAAACCCCTTTAACTGCTTTGCTTCTGTTATCAGGAAAGAAACCTTCTGATTTACTGGGTTCAAACCTGTCAATCCTGTGTAATTACAGGCAAACATCTACCTACTTCTCAGTGTTTCAAGCACTGTCCATCCCCCTGCCCTCTGTAATATATGGTTAATTAAAAGCAGGGATGCCTTAGCCATTTATGTCACTGTTTCCTGGCATGTGTTCATCAATAGCCTGGCAAAGGTAGCGATGCTGTGGGGGGGACTAGAAGTCTTCTCTGGCAGTCTTTGCCTTTGTGCTTTATTACCAGAAACATCTGCATGGCAAAACAGTCAACACTGTGACCTGGGGGGAAGGAGCTGGCAGTCCTCCCTAAACTTTCTGCCCCAGTTACTGCCTTCTTTGAGCAAGGTCAGAACCACTAACTGCTACTGAGCACATTCCCCTTCTGTACTTTTTCTGTTGTAAACTACAGTTCATAAAATACTTGGACAAGGCAATGTCAGGATGAAAGAAGTGGGTAATTTAGAATTTAAGAATACTTCAGTGATTGAGTTTTTTGTTCTTTGGTATCTTACTGTAGTTTGGATTTGAAAAATGGGCACAGCAGTTCTCAAAACGGAACAGTACATATAACGTTACAGTCTGAGAACTAATTACAGCAAATCCTTTCACTTCACACTTGGGTTGGCATGTCAAATAAGAATAGTTGTGTCTTACTTGAAGAAATAACAACTTGAATTCTAGGTGTATCAGCCTCTCCTCTCAAATCCAGCACTAACATGCAGAAAAACCAGTTGTGTTGGTCGGAGGGGTTTACTGTATGTGTTTGTAGAGAGCAGGGGATTATGAAGAAGAGTGACTTGCATTAGTCATCAGAGGATGAAGAGTGTCCAGATGGATGCCATTGCAGATGGGCTGACTACAGGGTGAACTGCTGAAGAGAAATAGTAGCAGTTATTGTAGTTGAACAAATAGCATTCCAAGGGCAGAGTCCTGTAATGTACCTAAAAAGGTAACAAGTACATTTTCAGGCTCCTGAAATTTACCTTTCTCTTTCCC